GTATTATCACAGAAATAAATTACAGTTTACTATATATTCACATAGAAACAAGTTATTTTAAATTGTAATAATATTTCACAATATTGGTGTTTTTATTTTATATTTGATCAATTAAATGCAGTCTAGGTGAGTATAAAAGACTTGCATAAAACGTACAGATGCCAAGCTTTAATAATAATAATAATAATCACTGTCATCATCATCATCATCATCATTATTATTATTATTATCAATAATGATATTATTATTTATTTAAAAAATATATATAATATAATTTTGTGATATATATTATAATTATATTTTCATAATTTATTTTTTTAAGTGTGGGTTAAGTGTCCAGTTTAAAAACATGTATAGTGTATACGGTCTACACTTAATAACAGAACAACAAAAAGCAGATAAATAATATTGAAAAGTGATCCTCGTTGATCTCGGAGTGATTTTATTCAATTAGAAACTACGACAGTGGTGCAGTTTCATTAGATTACATGCATCTAAAATCATACATGACATTGACATGTTCTGAAATATCAACGTTTGCACTGACAAAATGCTAGAATGTGTGTCTGTGAAATTTGGTTTTATAGACACTCAGCGTGAAAAAATATTTGATCCTTTCCCATTAAAAGTCCATCAGAGGCTTAAATGGCATATCCTTAGTTAAATTTGCATAATGCATAAAGGGATTCTTGCGTGAATATTATAAGATAGAATCCAAAATGAGCTCTTTAATTGATTAATACCTGCCTCTCTGCAGGTAAAACTGTCTCTCTAGACTTTATACTAATGCAAAGACTGTTTACAGCGGCATAAAACGGTGAAGGTCAGAAATGTGCTGAGGAAAGTGAAAAAATCAAGTCTGTGATTTTTAAGGTTATTTCTTGAAGAGAAAAGAGCGAGGAAGACAGAAGAAAGGTTTTCCCCTCTGACTCAGATGCTGTGGCCCAGTTTTGCTGTTTGGGCTTGTGTTGCGTGCGTCTGCGGATGAAAACCAGCGCTCGGGTGTGGCGTGTTGAACTAAAACCACAGTTATGACTCTGTTTCACAGCTCACAGTTTAATCCCGGTTATAGAAGTGTGCTGTAACTGTGAGCGTTATTGCTGAGAGGATCCTCAAAATACGTGAGGAGTGTCTAAAATACAATTCTCAACTTTTACCTTTCAACAGAAGAGCGTAACTCAATATACGAGACATGAATTATGAGCTCATATGCCTCCATGATTTCATTCCCAGTTTCTCAATTTTTCTGTATTTTTGACACATATATGGTACACTAGTTACAGCTTAGGCCCTGCAATCGGACAGTTGCTAATGTGGTCTCCCAAAGCAGACCTAGACAGAGTTTTGCTGCATTTCGCCGATTTTTTTGGAGATAATCTGTGAATTTTGACATAAAATGTGTTAAACTGAAGTTCTAAACTTTTACTAGGAATGTGGGCCATGTAGAACTCCTTACAAGTATTGCATAACAGATTGGTTTGATAGGATTCTTGAAGGAATAGTTCACCAAAAAATGAAAAATCTGCAGAGAATGTGCTCATCCCCAAGTCATCTGAGATGAGGATGAGTGTGTTTCTTCATCAGGTTTGTAGAAATGTAGCATTGCATCAGTGTCTCAGCAATGGATGCTCTGCAGTGAATGGGTGCCGTCAGAATGAGAGTCCAAACAGCTGATAAAAACATCACAATAATCCACAAGTAATCCATAGCACTCCAGTCCATCAGTTAACATCTGGAGAAGACAAAAGCTGAAACTAATCCAGCATTAAGACGCTTTTAACTCAAAGACCATAGAGTCCATAATGTGTATCAATGTTGTTGTTGTTGCTGTTGTTGATGATGATGATGGTGTTGTTGTTGTTGTTGTGTATCAATGTTGTATGTTGTTGTTGTTGCTGCTGTTGTTGATGATGGTGTTGTTGTTGTTGTTGATGATGGTGTTGTTGTTGCTCTTGTTACTGTTGTTGTTGTTGTTGATGATGATGTGTGTTGCTGTTGTTGTTGATGATGATGTATGTTGCTGTTGCTGTTGATGATGGTGTTGTTGTTGTGTATCAATGTTGTGTGTTGTGGCTGTTGTTGTTGATGATGATGTATGTTGCTGTTGCTGTTGATGATGGTGTTGTTGTTGTGTATCAATGTTGTGTGTTGTGGCTGTTGTTGTTGATGATGATGTATGTTGCTGTTGCTGTTGATGATGGTGTTGTTGTTGTGTATCAATGTTGTGTGTTGTTGCTGTTGTTGTTGATGATGATGTTGTTGTTGCTCTTGTTGCTTTTGTTGTTGTTGATGATGATGTATGTTGCTGTTGTTGTTGATGATGTTGTTGTTGTTGTTGTTGTTGTTGCTGTTGTTGATGGTGTTGTTGTTGTGTATCAATGTTGTGTGTTGTTGCTGTTGTTGTTGATGATGATGATGATGATGTTGTTGCTCTTGTTGCTGTTGTTGTTGTTGATGATGATGATGGTGTTGTTGTGTATCAATGTTGTATGTTGTTGTTGTTGCTGCTGTTGTTGATGATGGTGTTGTTGTTGTTGCTCTTGTTGCTGTTGTTGTTGATGATGATGATGATGGTGTTGTTGTTGTTGTTGTGTATCAATGTTGTATGTTGTTGTTGTTGCTGCTGTTGTTGATGATGGTTTTGTTGTTGTTGTTGATGATGGTGTTGTTGTTGCTCTTGTTGCTGTTGTTGTTGATGATGATGTTGTTGTTGCTCTTGTTGCTGTTGTTGTTGATGATGATGTTGTTGTTGCTCTTGTTGCTGTTGTTGTTGATGATGATGTTGTTGTTGCTCTTGTTGCTGTTGTTGTTGATGATGATGTTGTTGTTGCTCTTGTTGCTGTTGTTGATGATGATGTATGTTGCTGTTGCTGTTGATGATGGTGTTGTTGTTGTTGCTGTTGTTGATGGTGTTGTTTTTGTGTATCAATGTTATGTGTTGTTGCTGTTGTTGTTGATGATTATGATGTTGTTGCTCTTGTTGCTGTTGTTGTTGATGATGATGTGTGTTGCTGTTGCTGTTGTTGTTGATGATGATGGTGTTGTTGTTGTGTATCAATGTTGTGTGTTGTTGCTGTTGTTGTTCATGATGATGATGTTGTGGAGCTCCAGGCTGTGCTCCTGCAGGCCGTGAGGATGTTGTTTTCCCTGAGGCTATTGTCTGCACAAGGACGCACTGTACCGCACATGAGACTGAATGAATACAGAGTCACGCTCAATCGTGTGCGGCTTCTCTTTGATAATTTCAGGCTAAAGGCAAGATCATTGGCCTTTCACCCAGATTAGCTCCACACATGAAACCGAGATGATCATTCATGCTGTGCATCTCTAAAAGAGAACAGAGACGCTTCATAACCTCACACTTCACTGCTCAGCCGATAATACGTTTTACTCCATGAGCTCGTATTATGTTTTCAGTCTGTGTAATTTTATGCAATATGTGCTGTTTAGCGTATCTAACGCTAATTGTCGATTAATTCACTGATTAATCAGTAGACTTTGTTTATTCAGCTTTCGCAATTAGTTAAAATACTGTTATACAGTACATATTCTAACAAATAAATAAAGGTAATCACTTCAGCTTTTGAAAATCATATTATGTAATTACAATTATTGTACAATTAATTTATACAATTACATATATTTGGCATACAAAATGAGATGACAGACAGAGAAACTCTCATTCAGTTCGGCAGTCATCATTCTGCCGAACATCTCCTTTTGTAAGTCATATGGATAAGAAACAAAATAAAGGTAAGCGATAAGACGCTTTATTTTTAGATAAACGATTTTATTCACAACATAATCTCTCTTAAAATACCTTATAGGGTTATGATAATCAAAACAGTCATGAGCTAGATCAAGCTTCATCACTTTATCACTTTAGTGAAATATTTTATTTCCACTGATAAAAAGATTTATCATTAGCTAGCTCCACACTGGAGAGCCGATTTATAACAGAAAATCAAGTTGTTATTCTAACTGAAAACGACACTGACTCTGGTATTTCATGTTTAAAACAATAAAGCTGCTTGATTTAAGTCAATCTATTGCATAAAGCACTATGTAAATAAACGTGACTGGACTTTACTGGAGTACTGAAATGCAGAGCTCATGCAAACATCCACATCGCTGTAACCAGATGCTTTCTTAACTGCTGCTTTCTCACCGCAGTCCGTTTTTGTTGTGTTTATTTTGTTATTGAGAGGAAAGCGCACAGCAGCTTCCGGTTCGGCTGCGTTTGCTCTGAAGCGCTGTGTGTTCTTCTCTTGAATTGCATCCAGGAGGGCTGAATTACAGTCTTGTGCTACAGTGCCACACTGGTCAAACCGCATTATTGCAGGCTCTTACATTAGGTCACATGAGATCAAACGACTACTCGACTACAAAAATATTTGTCGACAATTTTATTGTCAATGTTGTCGATAATGTCGACTAATCATTTCAGCCCTATGTCAGAGCCTCATCTGCGTCCGCTGAGAGAGAGCTGGATATTTATGAAATTATATTTACACAGTGAATGTCTTTATGATTTGACAATATCATCCTATCAGACCAATAAAGCCCTTTGAGCAGAACTTCATCTCCGCGAAAGAGAGGAGAATGGCGCGTTTGGAGATCATGTGACACACTGAGATGTTATTATGTTTGGACAATATCAGAGCCATAAATCTCATTCACATGGAAATCAATCTCTCACATACAGAGATGGAGATGAATTGATCG